ATTGTTCTAAAATGTGTGTTTCATATTTTGTGTCCTGTTGAGTATAGTGCTGCCACACAGGGCATGGGTGGGATGTTGAAGTCATGTTCCAACTTTGAGGTTGGAGATTTGATGTGTTGTAAAGTTCTTTTCCGACAAACATTCAATGTAGTGGATTGTTGTTCCTGTTTTGTTGCTTTTTGGCCAGCTTAGGAAGTGCCATTGGAGGACAGGATCGTCAAAGAAAGCATGTGGCTCAAACAAAGCAGACCGTGAAACAGACCGAGTGGCCACAGGAGCCTTTGGATCCAGATGCACCTCAGAGAAAGCTTGGGTTTTGGTTTCTGGTTGCAGATGGGCACAAGTTAGTCCCTTGACTCGACCCCAGGTCAATGAATGGCGCTTGTTGCATGGAAGTGGTTTGGAGGCATGTAAAGGCCTGGACCGCCTCACTGGAAGCCGCAGAAGTGATGGTTTTTGAAGTTCAGAAGAAGGTTGAGCAAAGCGAACGCTTAACCTTCAGCCAAAACATATTTTGCTGGCCCCTTTTTGCTTTTCACTTTTGCCAACATGGCTAGGCATTTGTGGCAGCAATTTTCGGCTGACTCTTGGCGGCCAAAATCGACGAATTTGCAAACACTTTGGCGCTGAACTTCGTGTTTGTTCCACAGGAAATTGGCTGGGACTGGCGCCACCTGGAAAACTGCTGGTATGGAAAGTGGCCGAAGCTTGACCGAGTTTGTATGTTCAACGAATCGTGTAATTCGATGCCACTGGTAGGTAAACAGGAAGTGCCAGCCGTTTTAAAGCTGTGTTCTTTCCATAAGCGCTGCCTTTGGGAAGATTGATCTTGGTAAACAATTTGAAGAGATATTGCTGTGGCACCAAGAGAACAAGAAAACCTGCTTTTGAGGGAAGCTGGATGTCAAAATTGATGAAACCAAATTGTATATTGCACGGAATTGGACTGATTTTTCGATATCCATTCCCTTTCCACAGCGTTGAATGAAGTCCATACCGCATTCGCCGAGGGTACACGGTTCTTTAAGCTTTGAAAGAGATTCTATAGATGCAAAGAGATTTTATAGATGTTTTGTTCTGGTTTTGGGGTGACTTGTGGAAATGAGCCGCCAATCTAAGAGCCTCTCTACGGCTATGGTGTGTATTTGGCAGAGCCTTAGCTGCACAAGGGCAGGCAAACGTGAAAACTTATATGACATAGTTCGCACCCATGGTCAGTCCATGAAATATGGTCAGTCGACTCAAAAATTTGCAGATGATGGTTTTCTGAAAGTATAACAAGAAGCTACTAGGGGCTCCTGGCCTTACTACTAGGAGAAAGGACGCTACGTTTTCTGAAGAGACAGTTGTAAATTCTCTCAGGAACGGTCCACAAAGGCAGACGAATACGCAGAAGCGATCCACGGCGGTCTGCCCTCGGACGAAGGTCTCGCGGGTCAACGGGTGTGTAAGGCAGACTGCAGTAGTTTTTCCCCACAGTGTCGCTATGGGCGTGAAAACTACTATGCTGAGTTCAACCTAATACCGATGGCCTCCAACCTACTAGCGATGACCTCCAACCTAAGAGCGATGGCCTCCAAAAATAATTCCTATGCGAAGCAGCAATTTTTGCTGTGAAGACACTGGAAAAGAAGCATAGCCTGGACCGCCCAGCAATGTGACATTTCATCGACGGCTTCAGGCTGCTATGCCATGCTAGTTTGTCGAGTGGTTGGTGGGCTGTGCAGAGTGGTTGCCCTGTCCCCAGCAGAGGTGGAACAAGGTTTTGGGTGTTGATTTTTTGGTGCTGAGGATACGAATGAGTTCAACGCAGATGATTTGCTTGTGCCTCAGAGACTGATGTCTTTCCTTTCTCATCCAAGCAACCTGCCTGGCTGCTTTTAGTGTAAACTCAGATGGCTTGTTTTCATGAGGAACGGCCGTGTTTTCACGAGGCGAAAGGATATCTTGGACGGACCATATCACTCGGTTCTTGGCGATCGCGTCGTGAAGTTGGGAAAGCCCTACAGGGAAGTGGTTGCCGACGCCTCACAGAACGAAAGAAGTGGCAGCAGTAACGATGGCCTCCAACCTAGGAGCTGTCATATTCACTGAATCAACTGCCCAATGGAAGAAAGAATTCTCAGAGAATCAACATTCTTCCGCACAACAAAGGTCCACGACAACAATCAGGTCTTTCCGGAGTTCATCCTCTACTACAAAAGGTGCCTTGGTAAGAATTCTCCTGACCTAACCACTGAAAACCCATGTTTTGCTCCGCCCTCACTTAGGCGCCTGCCTGCTTAATTAAGTAAGGAGGCAAGCTACTAGCAATAGGAAGCTTTGGTTCCTAGATGCTTAGGGGAAAAAAAATTGAAAGTGTTCTGCTTTCTTCAACTCAACTAGGATTACCCTGCCGACCCGAATGGCGTTCCGTCCACGAAGCTGAGCTTGTCGTTTGTGCCGGCATGCACCACTGAAGACGGCAACCTACTAGAGATGGCCTCCAGCCTGATAGCAATGGCCTCCAACCTAAGAGCGATGGCCTGCAACCTAATAGCGATGACCTCCAACCTAATAGCGATGGCCTTCGACCTAATCAAATTGAATATGTCAACATGTGGTTGTCGGAGACATCAACTGAGATTGGGGCTGGACTGACTGTCTTGCCAGGGCCTCGGAAAGCCCGACCTTGTCAAGTGCGGGAAGCGAAACTGTCGATGCTATATGTGAATATACAGTGGCCAAGGTAGATGTATTATCAATTTCTTCGCATTCCTTTGTTTTCTCTTGCTCCATTCCCTTTTTCCCTCCATGTTGTTCAAGCCACTTTTGCCAGAGGTTGGTTTGTGACAGGCTGTTGCAGACACATTAGACCAAACAGATTATATACACACACTTTGGGGAGAGACACATCTTGTACTAGCTGCTATTCACATCTCGTGCAAAAAACACTACGTAACGGCAGGCAGATTTGTGTGTGTGTTGCTCAATTTTCCACGTGCGCGTTCTTAGCATTTCATCATCTACGAAGGTAGCGCAGCAACGGAGTAACGGTCGTTGGCCATGAATGCCGAGTGCTTGCAAACTTGCAACACCAGCTAGCAAACCTTGGGCCGCAACCAGACTTATTGGCAACAGCAGGTAGAGCCACGGACGCCCAAGCTGTTTGAATAAGGCTGATCGCAAACATGCCTTCAGGACGTCTCCCAAAAGCATATCGCAGACTGTCAAGCACGCCACTTCTTGGAAAATGTGCTGACCGGAATTGGGCTTTGAGCCGAGGGTCATGAGCTACAACCACTGCTGGACACTGCCTTGGCATAGCGATGGCCTCCAACCTACTAGCGATGGCCTCCAACCTTCTGGCAATGGCCACCCCCAATAGATGAACGCGTATTTGGACGCTGGAGGCCAGTGGCCGGTGGCCTTCGACCACACTCCGCCGAGCGACCTTCCACAAGTCGGTTGACCCAAGGTGTTTCATCCCATGCGGTAGTGGCAAACCCGAAACGATCTAGGCTGGTGGGCAAAGAACCACTTGGGGTGTAGAGCTTCAGCTTCTGCTTTTACTAGAGCAAACTGGGCACGATGCACTGCATTCTCCAGATGTTTCCTTTTTCTCACTTTCTCCTGCCCTTTACCACCTTCACTTCTGTCGGCAGCTCTCCTACACCTTCGCGCACTTTCTTCCTACCTTCTCTCTCTCTCTCCCTCTCTCTCTCTCTCTTTCTCTCTGGCCACCGGTCGTACAGTGTTTTGGCCATAGAGCATGATAGAAGGTAACATACAGACCACACTGAGCCATGAAAAGGCAGCTAGCGAGTTGAAGCTACCACGATTCATTGGTTGCTTGGCGCCTCAGGCTGTGATGCAGCCTTTCTGAGAGGACCATTCTCAAGGACAGGCCATAGCAACAGCTGTTCAACACGTTCAGCAAAGAAGCTGCCATCGCTCCAGAGAAATGACCGGTTTGCAGCAATCACAGCAAGGCCTGCACGGTGTGCTTTTTGGGGGGGCAGGGTGAAATGTGCTTTTCTAGTCGGAAGCAAAGCTTGATCTCTGAGGCAGCAGATGGGCGTGATGGGCATGATGATGCCATGACCACAGGGCCCTGGGCGCCAAAAGAGGTAAATATTTTAGGGAAGAAAGGCCACGAGGTTGCCTAGGAAATTGTTTGTTCAGGCGTTCGCCCACTTTAAACCTGCACACTGGACAGTTCCTCCAGAAGGATTGCACCACCATTCCCTGCAAGAGAGTTAGGGAGTGCAAACTCCTGACAAACCAACCCTAGACGTTTCCTTTCCCTCCCCATCACAGGGACAATACATGTTGTGGTGAGTTTGACCAAATGCAAAATTTCAATGTTGGGCAAAGCCAGCCGATAAGCTAGGCTGAAGTTGTTCCTGCGAACGAAGTGAGTAATGGGGGTGTGGGTTGCTTTTTCATCATAGCCTGGTGGGGTTATGCAGATGATGCAGGGCAAAGAGATTACTGCATCATTTGCATCACAAAGGCTTGCGTCCAAGATCGTCAACAAGGTCAATCAATGTTGAGAAAGAAAGGAGGTTCTGCTTTCATGCTGCTTTCATTCTGCTTTCGTACACTGGCGTTCATGCGGCTTTCATTTGTTTTCTTTCATCCTGCTTTTAGTTGCTTTCATTTGCTATCATCTGACAGAGAGCCACCATGAACCACCAGTGGCTTGGTGAGTGCGCCAACAAAACCCAAGCGTTTCCCCTTGACCTGATAGAGCCGATAGAGCCATGGGTTCTTGGAAGAGGCTGCGTCGACTGGTTCAACAAGCGGGCAATTGAACCAGCGGTTTTGACTCCATTTGCCTGCGCCAAAAAAATCGTTGGCTTTCATCCCCCTTCGTTTTACTGGTAATTTCTGTGTGGCTGCTGCTAAGGCCGGGCATGGCAATGCCGAGAACCTAGTTTCTTGAAACATGAAGCCGTGATGTCAAGAAACGCATGTGAAAAAGTATTGACTGATGCCATACATTTTTCAGGCCTGGCATGGCGCAGTTGCCTGGTGCACAAGGAACACAAAGTGGCCCTCCTGCACAGACGGGCCAGGCTGCGCAAGAAGCAGCGGCCCAAGCAGCACAAGCCACGCAGGCAGCACAAGCCGCCCAAGCGGCCCAGGCAGCACAAGCCGCCCAAGCAGCACAAGCCGCTCAAGCCGCACAAGCCGCCCAAGCGGCACAAGCCGCTCAGGCAGCACAAGCCGCACAAGCAGCACAAGCCGCACAAGCCGCTCAGGCAGCACAAGCCGCTCAGGCAGCACAAGCCGCTCAGGCAGCGCAAGCCGCCCAAGCAGCACAAGCCGCCCAAGCAGCACAAGCCGCCCAGGCCACACAAGCTGCCCGGGCACCAGAAACCCACGCTGCTAACGCAGCTCAATGCGCTGCACAGACTGCGCCGCAGCTTGCCAACTCTGAGGCGGAGTTTTCGAGTAGTTTCGGAACGGTCAATTAATGGCAATCTCAAATCACCACCTGAACAAGCAATCGTCTTGGAGGTTGTATGGAAAGTGGGTGCCATTCACAAACAGTCTCGTATCACCCCGTGTTCGATTGAGCTGCAAACACATGCCATGTTGGTTACTTGGTGTTGGTATTGTGCGCGAGTTTCTGCAAAGTGAGGCGTTTGCCACCCTTAGAGCGACTGATGAGCAGCTTTGCCATGATGAAAGGATGCCTTGAAAATGTTTCCGGCCGTTTTGATTGGTGCATCTAACCTGGAAAGGGTTTTGTTCCATTCAGCAAAAGGAAGAGTTGCCTTGCAATGTTTTCCTCGCCAGCACGTTTGCTTCTCGCAGGTTCGGGAGTGGCCTGCCTGGTTGAAATTTGGAGTGCCGTGTCTCTTGGCTGAGTCAACAGCCAAACGGTTTCTCCACGAGAAGAGCATGAGGCTGTGAAAGAAAAACCGTGCACGACATCCATCGCAAGAAACACATCATGGTTGAGCTTCGAGCTTCGAGCTTCACTTGTTCCTTTGCCCAGCTTAAAGCTTAGGCAGTATTTGCGGCGATGCAGGCAAGTCAGAAGAAGAGCCACACGGTGTGGTCGTTGACTCAGACATGTGGTCCTTCTTGGCTGGCTGTGGAGCACAAGGCTGCATGCAGTTCGCTGTGTCGACGTAAGGTTTGTGGAAGAAAACGCAAGAACGCCGTCGGTGGCTGCAAGAAAGGTGTGTGTTGGGTGGTCGCCCTGGCAAGCAGCTGAAGCCGGTTTGGCTGTTCTGGCAGAGTAACTTCACATGTTCCAGAACTGTTGTAAGTAGAGAGTGGAATGGGCACCCAACCAGCCTCAGGTTGCCAAAATGATCCTGCACACTACATGTTTTGCCTATCTAGACCGCTCAGTAAGGTTTGCATGGAAAAGCAGCCGCGGTCATCCTTCGGAATGGCATGGGCCTCGATACTTCAAAACTCTCTTGATGCCTTCTTGTGGTCGAAATAGCTTCTCAGGTTCGCACGAGCTGCTGGCATGCTTGTTGAAAATGCCTTCTTGCAGTTTGCTAAACTTTACACACCCATGCTGACACCAAATTGGGAAATTGAGAATGGCTCAACAAACACCAGCTCACCACGCTGTGGTAAGGATGCGGGTTCTGCTCACTGGTGTTGCGCTGTTACTGGAGAAGACTCCAAACATCTACTTGCCTTCTCCGCACTTCCGGTCGCCTCATATTTCGATTCAAAGACTACTAGCTTCTTGCTACTAGTAAGGCACTTGTTCCTAGTAGCGATGCACTTGTTCCTAGTAGCTTATTGTTCTATGACCTAGATGAGTGTGAAAGCCACCACTCTTAGGTTGGAGGCCATCGCTAAAAGGCAGGTTGATACGAACGAAGTTGTTGTAGCTACAAGAAGGCGGAGCAAGATTCAGTGGACCGCCACGCGATGGTTGCTGGACCTCACATGCAGGTTGTCAGCATTAGATCCGTTTGAGTCTTTTTGGGAAAGGCAACCTACGCTACCTGACCTTTCCAAGCTTCAAAATGCCAAAGCTGCGCTCCCCTCCTCGGCCTCCTCAGCCTCCTCCCCTCCAAGGCAGCCACAGCTTCTTTGCTGTAGCTGCTGGATCTTAGGGAGCACGACAGAAAAGCGTTTCGACGGCAGAATCACATTTCAAGTAGAAGTATAGCAGGGTCTTGTTCATCGCAGAGTCAAGGATTAGTTTTGTAGGAAAGGAAGTCCCTGTTGTTTTTGTGTGACTTCTCGCTGACTTCTTTGCACAGTTCAGTTCGAATTGTGTGAAAGTGCAAGGACAACTCTACAGCACCCTGTGCGGCGTGTGTTTCTGAACGACACGTTTCTCGTGCATGGTCACTGGCCATTTATGCCTTTTATTTGGTTCAAAGGGGTTGTCGGGCTAGTGAAGTGAAACCATGTTTGCGCCTACTTGCATCCCAGCAGATCTGACGCGGCCAGCATCGACCTTGTCTTGTTTTCTCCACCGAAGGAGCTTTTTCAGCTTGTCCAAGCAAATCTTGCATGTCCTGCTTCACATGACGGACGCACACGCGCACAAACATGTGTGCCTGCTTGTCCTCAATCTGTTCTGGAGATTATTAAAAAGGAAATTGCCATTAAGAAAAGTAAAATAAATGATATTAATTATTTGGCAATTTCCATTAAAGTATATCCTGTACCGCCGATTATTAAAATAAGAAATATGAATGATGAATCGGCGGGAATGTGTGTAGAGGCCATCGCTAGTAGAGGCCATTGCTATTATTTCTGTTTGATTCTGTTTGTCAATGGCAGGACCCGTGAAGAATTTGAGTCCCTCGAGGAGACTGCCTGGTGGATGCACGAAAGGCGCCAACCCCTCATCAACATCGCTACTTGTTTTTGCCAGAAGTGTTGATGATGTGGCTCTTTTGGTAGCAGGGTGGCCAAGTGCAGAAAATATGTTTATTCCTGAAAGCTCCTCCGAATGCTTTTTTCAACAAGAGCTACTGTCAACTCCACTTTCTTCATCACCAGCAGTAGCAGCATCATCAACATCCAAAGATGTACAGGCTCTCCTTTCTACTGTTGTCTATGAAATTGCAATTTTGTTTGGCTTGGCTGGTCTTCTTGGCGTTTTGTCCAATCCCCTTGCTCCTGCTGCGCTGTTGTTGCATTCTAAGAAAGCATGCATTCGCAGCTGCCAAAGGAGGAACCAGGCTTTTGTAGGATGCAGTTCATGTCCAACGGAAATCGACGCGATGCGCCAGGTGCATGGAGCAATCTGACCTCTGTGCATATTTTGGAGGGGAGAAGGCTTAAGCGAATGCCAACCAGCGTTGATTGAACGCGTGAAACAAACTGCAGGCCTCCAACCTAAGAGCGATGGCCTCCACCCTACTAGCGATGGCATCCAACCTAGTAGCGATGGCCTCCAACCTACGAAAAGGGTTGTAAAAGCGAGTTTGTCAAGGAGCTTGCAGAAGCCAGAGCAGCTGCTGATGCAGTGGACGTTCAATCATCTGCAGCAGCACGCCTCACAGTGCAGACGCGTTTCAACTTGTTGCGCTGAAGCTTCACGCTTGGAGGAGGCAATTGACCCTATGGCTGAGAAAGAGCGCATCAAAAAGATGCCTGCCATCGGCCTGGAGTGCCATTGGTTGCTTTTTGAGAAGCAAGGAGTTGCGAGAATTTGAATTCGAGTTCTTTCAGGTCAAAGAGCTGAAGGCATACCTTGACAGGCAATTGGGGCATTCACTTTGCTCGTCCGTTACATGTGTTCATTGCAGGCACAACACATCTCACGCAGACCTCTTTGAGAAAGCAGAGTTACTTGCAAGAGCACTAGAGGCGCGACTACCAGCTTGTGACCAAAGGTCTCTACTTTCGGTTTGATTGCAAACCAGAGACCTCCACAGCAGGCTTGAAGCCATTCCAACAAATCAATTCAGAAGATGTTAAACCCTGACCGATCCGTCTTCGAAAGGTTGCTTCTCAATGGCCGGCGTGGATGTTCGGCACTCGGCCTTTGTGTTCGGCACTCAGGGGGTGCAGAGTTTGTTTCAGGAACACTGGTGACAATTGCCGGCTTTGCGGGAAGCAGCAGCAGGAGTGAAAGTGTAACACAATCAACACAATGCATTCTATATCGACCAGTTTTACAGGAACAAGATCGAAACAATGGTTTACAGGAAGAGAAAACCAAGAGAACAAATTGAAGAAGGAAATGAACGCAGCAAAAGCAAAGTCGAACACATAGTAAAGATGGCTGGAAATCGCTATCATGTTGGAGGTCATCTCATAGAATCACTTTGCATCTCGCCACTAATTCTCAAAATTAAAGATGGTGGAAATGCCCACCGACTTTGACGAAGATTGGACCAGCTGCATAGGCACCTGGCTGTTGGCGATGGGACTTGGTCGAGCACGGTCCGTTTGTCTCAGGATGTGGCGCACAGTTTGGAAAAGAATTTAAAAAGGAAAGGTCCAAAGAAGAAATTAGAAGACAACGAAAATCTCTAAAGAAGAAAAAGATCTTAAATACGTTGATTGTGGAGGCAGTAGCACCATCCTTGACTGACCAACTCAGTTGTCATCTTGCTATACCAAAAGTCCTCAGTGTCCATTCACTGCATGGAGGCTCACCTCATCACCCCCGCACCACAATCAATCACAAGATTTGCTGCCTACCAATCCTTTCGCGATAGCGTCACCATTTTTGCATTGCCAGCCTCACCACTTCCAGCATTCAGCAATGTTAAAATCCCTACTTTCGTCGCAAGAATCAGCAAGAAAGCAGAGTGAAACCGCTGAGATGATGTTGCCAGTTGCTGGAATAGATAAGCTGCTTTTAACATAATGCTGTTCGCTGCAACTCCTTGCCACAAAGACGATTTTGCTCGAGGAAGCCCTTTAATTTCAGGAAAGCTCGACAAGCTCTTGACAAACTGCTGCCTTCCAATTTGCTGAGATTGTTGCTTCGCTAGTAGGTTGGAGGCCATGCTTTGTTTGCTGACACAAAGTTGACCCGAGACCAGCCCACCGTCTCAGAATCCAGTCCGCACACAGTCGCATGGAACACCTCTCCGCAATGTGATTGCCACAAAGTGCCACCAAAGACTGTCTATCCAGCAACATGCTTGTGAAGCTTCAAGCGGCTAAACAAGTGTGTATTATTGCACATCATGTCTTGCGACGTGTGAGGAGAAAGGCGGCGTTTTCTGCAGGAGGCGGAGGCAACCAGCAATTCATGGTGTTGATGTCCGGCCACACCTGAAATCAGCATTTGTGGGTTCTTTATTTACTATTACTAGCAGCGTTTGTTTCACGCCACGCCACCACCAAAAATGATGCGGTTTTTCGACGCAGATGGTTCTTTGGCTTGATTTTATGACACTTTAGGAATGCATTTCACAAGAGATAAACAGATTCTAAGGTTACGTTTCAGGTCAGATGGCCGCACAGCCGGCTGCAACGAAGGAGTTTGCTGGCGATGCATGAAGCGTGTGCTCGCCCAAGTGGTACTATGCTTCATGCCTTGCTATTCTTTGAACGTGAATGCCAAGAGCCCAGTGTCACAGGCTCCAAAGGATTCTTTCGGCAAAGTTCGATGCACAAAAGAAGAGCGTGGGACCTAAATTTTGATTTGCAGCTGATGCGCGGCTGCGTAACAAGTAAAGCAAGTTTGATGAGGTTTGAACAGCTGAGTCAGCAATGGCGTAATTGTATGAGAAATTCTGAGGTTTGCAGATCTCGGAGAGGCCAAGAAACACAACTGTAGTGAAAGCTGGAAAAGACGACAATGATCCCCAACAACAGGATGCTTGGTGGATGCATCAACATTGCTTCGAAGACGGCGACTGGAAGGTGCATGGTTTTTCTTTTACAGACCGCACAAGCTGTTGAACATCATCAAAGGAAGCAAGTTTCGAGAGACTCTTCCGAGTTATGAGAAAAAACAGTTAGCATATGTGTGTGTGTGCGCACCCTGGAGTCATGGGTCTTTGTGGAGTATGATGTTCAATAAGCTGCAGCGGTGGGCATACTTGAAGTCACCACTCATGAACGCAATTCAAATTATCTCACCTCCTACTTCCTTTTTTGGCCTCTTTGTTCTGGAACAAACTGTTGCCCTTGGCATCTCTTACCCATTCTGCAAACTTGCACTTGTCGCTTGCTCGACTTGTCGTTGGAGCCTGACTGTGATTTGAACTCCTTGCAAACTGGCCAGACCCCGCTGCACTTTGTGCCTGATCATATAGGTCAGCAATAGTCTTCCGCTTCAGGACAAAGTGAAGGCATCAACTTTGCACTACATGCACCACACCAACAGAAACAGCTCCGGAAAACGCTATCCAGGCGTCCAATCTTCCCCTTAACAGACCACCTGCAAACACTTCTATGCCAATACAGATTTCTGGGCATTTGCCACTCACAAAATGTGGTTGTCATGGACCAAAAAGGTTCGGAACATTAGCAGTATGAAAATGTCAATGCTGCATGTTTGCCCAAGCTTCAAAGCATATATATATATATCAGAAACACCTCGGCAACAGCCACTGGAGTGAAGGAGTCAAGGAGTGAGTGAGGGGTGAATGAACGCACGAAAAAATGAATGCATGAGTGAATGAACGAGTCAATGAATGAAAAAGTTACTGAAAGAGTGAAGGAGTGAGTAGGTGAGAGCGAGCGAGTGGCAAGTGAGTCTTCGTGTATTGCATGTCTACCACTTGCCAATGATGCACCAGCCGCCAGAAGCTACTTCATGCATGACAAGCTGCTTCGCACACTGAAAAACATGTTCTACAGTCTTGAGTCCGCGCACTGTACAGGGACCAGTAATACTCCGCCAAGCTGCCAGAAGGACTTCGCGCTGTGCTTGCACTACAAAATTGCTAGTTCTGAGCCCGGCTGCCACAAACAACTTTGCGCCACCCTACGTTAAACGGCCACCCGCTTCTCAGCCCGGAGCTGCCAAAATACTTCTCGCGCTTTGACAGCTGGCAGCCGATTCTTCATGTGACTCTGGGCATCGGGTCGCAACATTGAGTAAATTGTGTTTTTTATTTCACCCACTCGTTCATTCACGAATTAGCACACCACATTTCAACACATCAACAAACAGCTAATACACTTCGCTCTGAGACGTCACAGTATCACGCCAACATCACACAAATGCCTGAACTTGCATCCCACAGCAATCCACATGAATCAATTTGCAACTCCATACTTCAGATGGTTTTTCCCGAATGCGTAGCGAAGGATTCTCGTTTTATTAACTCTGGGGGTCTGGGGGTAGAGCCTTGTTCGCGACCCGTGGTTTTTAAGTTCGCAACCGTCCGCAGGTGTTCGCAGTAGAGCGCTAAGGCGCTGCCATTGGGGGAAGCTTTTGGAGAGGGTTTCGGATGGAAACGTGACGTGTCAGATTGGTGTGAAATAGCGAGGAATCGTGTGGAAATGTAAGAGGTTGAAGTGTGGAGGATGATTTCACTGCGCAGGCGCAGCGTTTTGTGAGATCCGCAGTTTACTACGCAGTTCCAGTCGGATTAGCGTTTGGATAGTCGTGCTTTTGGGGTGTTGGATGTGGTCGTGCCACTGGGATTTGCATTTCAGGGTGTTGCATCGAAGCTCTGTGTTCGTGACAAGTCTCAGCTGAAATGGCGATTTTGGTGGATGGGAGTGTGCTCAGGACGGGTCGAAATCATTCCAAACGTGTGGTGTGGTGCAAATTTTGTTGAAGCTCACATGAAGTGATATTGTCACCTTTCGCGGCAGGCGCAGTACTTTGTGCGGGCTTTGAGGTGTGGAAGTTCGATTTTCGTGGCAGGCGGAGGGAATCGTGAGGTTGCGAGGTGTGACGGAGGTGACATTTCGTGGCAGGCGCAGTACTTTGCGCGCGATAGACGTGTGGACGCGGAAAGATTCGTGGCAGGCGCAGGGAATCGTGAGGTTGTGAGTTGTGGTATGGAGGTGAATGTCGCTGTCACATTGGGATTGGCGTGTGAGCGGGTGTTGCTTGGAGGGGCTGGAATCGCGAAACTGCTTGGCAGGGTTGCGTGATGTGTGTGCTCCGATGGGTGTTTCCGCTTGACTTTTGGAGGAAGTCTCGTACGAAACGCTCGTTTTGCAGACTTTGACATGTGAGTTTTTGAGGAAGTCTCGGTCGAAACGCTCGTTTTGGAGACTTGACGTGTGACTTTTTGAGGAAGTCTCGTACAAAGCGCTCGTTTTGCAGACTTGACGTGTGACTTTTGGAGGAAGTCTCGTACGAAACGTTCGTTTTGCAGCCTCGAAGCGTGAGTCTCGTACGAAACGCTCGCATGACTGCTTCTAGTGTGTGGGCAGACCGTGTGGCGACACGACGTTCGTGGTGGAAAGCGCGCGCGCGTGGCGCCGTGCCACTGGGGAGCGCGAAACAGGGTGGCGTAAACGCGGCGTGTCACTGGTGAGCGGGGTGATATGTGGTATCATGTGATACGTTTGCTTCAAGTGTGTGGGCAGACCGTGCGGCGACACGACGTTCGTGATGTTGCAGTGCCATTGGGATTTGCGGCCTTGTTGGAAAGTGCGTTTGCGTGGCGCCACTGGGGAGCGCGAAACAGGGCGGCGTAAACGCGGCGTGTCGCTGGTGAGTGGGATGATTTGTGGTATCGTGTGACGCGTTTGCTTCTAGTGTCTGGGCAGACCGTGTGGCGACGCGACGTTCGTGATGTCGCAGTGCCATTGGGATTTGCGCGGCCTTGGTGGAAAGCGCGTTTGCGTGGCGCCGTGCCACTGGGGAGCGCGAAACATGCTGGCGTAAACGCGGCGTTTCGCTGGTGAGCCTGGTGAGCGGGATGATTTGTGGTATCAAGAGTGTCCCAAAAGAGTGCCCCGCAAGAGTTTCCTACAAGAGTGACCCACAAGAGTGTCCCGTATGATTGTCCCACAAGAGTGTCCCACAAGAGCGTCTACAAGAGCTACAAGAGTGGTCCACAAGAGTTACCTACAAGAGTGTCCCACAAGAGTGTCCCAAAAGAGTGTCCCGCAAGAGTGCCCTACAAGAGTGTCCCACAAGAGTGTCCCGTATGATTGTCCCACAAGAGCGTCTACAAGAGCTACAAGAGTGTTCCACAAGAGTTACCTACAAGAGTGTCCCACAAGAGTGTCCCACAAGAGTGTCCCGCAAGAGTGCCCTACAAGAGTGTCCCGCAAGAGTGTCCTACAAGAGTGTCCCACAAGAGTGTCCTACAAGAGTGTCCCACAAGAGTTTTCCACAAGAGTGTCCCACAAGAGTGTCCCACAAGAGTGTCCCACAAGAGTGTCCTACAAGAGTGTCCCACGAGAGTGCCCTACAAGAGTGTCCCACAAGAGTGTCCTACAAGAGTGTCCCACAAGAGTGTCCTACAAGAGTGTCCCACAAGAGTTTTCCACAAGAGTGACCCACAAGAGTGTCCCACAAGAGTGTCCCACAAGAGTGTCCCACAAGAATGCCCCACAAGAGTGTCCCGCAACAGTGCCCCACAAGAGTGTCTCACAAGAGCGCCCCGCAAGAGCTTCCTACAAGAGTACCCCACAAGAGTTTCCTGCAAAAGTATCCCGCTCCCACAAGAGTGTCCTACAAGTGTGTCCCACAAGAGTGGCCTACAAGAGTGTCCCACAAGAGTGTCCCACGAGAGTGTCCCACAAGAGTGTCCCGCAACAGTGTCCCACAAGAGTGTCCCACTGTTTTTTAAGAGTGTCCTACAAGAGTATCCCACAAGAGTTTCCTACAAGAGTGCCCCACAAGAGTGTCCCACAAGAGTGTCCTACAAGAGCGTCCCACAAGAGAGTCCTACAAGAGTGTCCCACAAGAGTGTCCCACAAGAGTGCCCCACAAGAGTTTCCTACAAGAGTGTCCCAC